GCGAAGAGTTTCCTTACTGGAGCAGGAAAACCTCTCTCCTCTTGGCTTATATCGAAATCCTCCGACATTCTTCTTTACAAATTCTCGTTTTGTACTTCTAATAAGTGACCGTTGTTTTGTCTTGATCTCTCCCCTGCGCTTCCACGTTCGTCACTTCTGAGCGGTGCATGCGCAAAGCCGACCTCATACGTCATCTGCCCGGAACTGCTTCCGAGTACAACTGATGGCGCAAGCTACATTTAAAGTGATTATTACATTTTGAATATGGATATTTTTCTTACAAAAAAAATGCATCGATTCGCTACAGAAGGCTTTTGTTCACCCCCCAGAGCCGCGTTTTTTTAAATTTTTTTTGTTGTTGTTTTTTTTTATGGATGGGTGCTTTTTATTTAACTACTTTTGGACAGATGCATGCAACACCCGCTGAGTGGCATTAAAGAGCTTAAAAGATCAAAGACATTTTTTAATATAACTCCGACTACATTCGTCTGAAAGAAGAAAGTCATATACACCTAGGATGCCTCGGGGGTGAGTAATTTATGGACAAATTTTCATTTTTGGGTGATTTTATTTTTTACCTTTTAAAAATATATTAAACTTTGGACAACTGATACGTATACACACATGTAGATGTAAGAATTTATTACTTTTTGCTTGATCGTTACACTGCATGACATTTTATCAAAATTCTTTTATTGAAACTTTTTTTTTTTTTTTTTCTAGGGAATTGGCACATTTATTCTCCTTTATTTGATGTCTTAATTTTATTGAAGGGTTTTTTTATTGTCATGGTCAACACATGTACAGTGAGAGCATGGGCTCGCGAGGGATCTGCTAATCTTTGGTGTTTGTGTACTTGTGCAAAAAATCAGTTTCTGGCTTGGAGTTTGATTTGAGTTTACATTTTGATTCAGTGCATTGTGGATCGATTTGTTTTGAATACTTAATGGAGATGGCCTAGACAGACTTTAAACATCTCGGCTATATTTATTCCAGCTCAAAGTAAATAATTCTGACTTCGCTTGTGTCCCTTCCTTTAGCCTGCATCGTCAGAGTTGACCAGAGGACTGGGAATCTGTATTGGCTAGCCTGTGATGAACTTTCCATTGGCGTTTCTACCATTGGCACCCTTGACCAGAGTATCTCCAGACAGCTATATCAAGCCAGAACTGCAATTCTAGACCTCTTTGTGGACTGGCAGAGAGGAAAGCTGTACTGGCTGGAGGGAGGTCAGGTCATGAGAATGAAACTGGGTCTGATTGGTGGAAATGCAGAGGCTATCTTCAGCTTTGAGGAGGATGGAGTTGACCGCGTTGTGTTTGATCGTAAAGCAAATGGCTTCCTTTGGAACATGGAGTCTTGTTAGTGGCTTTTCCTTCTGAATTAACTATTAGTCTGCACGTTACTGCACGTTTTAATTCATGTTTTTTGCTTTAGACTTGCAGGTTATGAGTCTACTGAAGATGAGAAGGTACTCTGCTGGTAAAGACTGGGTTGTTCCTGGCTCCATCATGGCTGCTTATGAACCCTACATGGTGACCTTGTTCAATAACATCCTGACAGTGTGGAATCGCAAAGATGGAGCTCGTGTCTCTGGGGTGGCGGTAGAGAATAGAGTTGTTAGCTTATCTGTTGCCCTTAGGGAAGTCCAACAAGGTTTGTAATGTTCCTCTGGGTTTCATTTTGTGTCTTTTATGCTATTATGCTTCATTTATTTTTTAGTTTTGTATGCATTTTAGATACAACAGCTGAAGATGTGCGTCCTACTGAGTTGACTTGCAAAAGTCCCCTAGTCATTTGTCATGGATCAAGCGTGTGTATCAGTCGATCTCAGCGGTGTGATGGGAACAGAGACTGTCCGGATGGATCTGATGAAGCCTCATGTGTGCACATGTGTGCAAAGCCAGGTATACTTTGACATGCATGGTTCACTCAAAAGTCCATTATTAAAATACATTTACTAACCTTCATGGTGTTTGAATCCTGTATGACTTTCCTTTTTAAGTTTTCTAAATGCTTGAGACCTGTTATACAGCAAGTTATGATGCTGATTTTTTTTGTGTAATTTTCAACCTTAAAATTTCAACTAGCAGTATTTTTAGTATAGACTTGTTTTTGATTTTTGATTGGATTTTCTGTTTTGTTTGTTTTTAGCTTGGTTTGTTGTCATTAGACTCTAGAAAATCTAGATTGAAAGACGGTGCTCTGTTTTTTCAGGTGACTTCCTGTGTAAGGATGGAAGTAAATGTGTGGAGAGGGATCTGGTGTGTGACGGCCGCTCTCACTGCATTGACGGGTCCGATGAGATGGGATGTCCCACCACTGCTTCTGAAACCGTCTCGGCAACATTCAGGTGTCGTGTGGGCTCTAAACCCTGTAAGGACGGACGTGAGTGTGTGCTTTACAGTCATGTGTGTGATGGAGAGATGGACTGTAAAGATGGATCAGATGAACAGGACTGTGAATATCGGTGTAAAGCAGGTAAAACTCATATAACTGATCCCTGACTGTCTTATGTAACTCAAACGAGTGTCACTGACAATGTTTCCTCACAGATCAGTTCCAGTGCGCTCATGGGAGGATGTGTATCGACAGAAAGCAGGTGTGTGACGGCACACCTCAGTGTCAGGATCGCTCTGATGAACTGGACTGTTTCAGTCGCTCGCACAAATGCAAACATCAGTGTGATGATAAAACTCGCTGCATCCCAGAGAGCTTTCTCTGTGACGGAGAGAAAGACTGTGTGGACGCCACTGATGAAGCCAACTGCTGTGAGTTTTGAAGATATGGAGTTTTTTAGTTTCTTTTTTTAAATTTTTCCAAACACCTTTTGATGAGTGAGTTTTCCTCTCTTACTGTGGGATTTGTTATTCCTGATTGCTCTAAGGTAGAGATTTTAAACTTTGTCAGCTGGACCCCTTTCACCAAAAATTAAATGAAAAAAATTAAATGAATACCTTATTATTTAGTCTATTAGCCTTAGATCTATAGACCATATATCTAGAATATTGTTTAGTCACGTTTGAATGTTCACGGTTTTCTGATGTCAGTTACATGGCATGCAGATAAACAAAAGAGTTCATTCTTTTTAGGGAGTTATTTTATTAAATTATTTTAAATTGTACGTTTATAAATACAAAATTTTTATTTTCTGTACAAATGTATTTTTATAGACCACAGTTCAGGTTTTCCTTAGCCAGTGAGTGTTGTTTCATGTTGACTTTAAACTGATGGTTTTGTCACTCTTGTGCTTGACTATAATAACTAGTAACTTATGCCTATTTATTTATTTTTTTTTAGAGATCGACCGATATATCGGTTTACCTCATCTTGCGTGTTATGTGCCTGATAAAGCAGCGTTTGTGAGCTCAGCACTGCGTTGTGTACAGCCGTTACTGGGGAAACCTCTGTTTCTCCCGCTATAAAGCACCTCCTGCTGTCAGAGAATGAATTTGCATTTTCATTAAGTCCGTCTGATTTACGCAGCAAACTTTTTTTAGCGTTTCCTATATCCACGGGCGCTGTGGATAATTCGCGGTTCAGGTAATAAAAAATGCATTCTAATTATTTGCGGCTGGGTTGCGAGTGGAAAATATAAATCACAAATGATGCAAATATTAACAATTTTCTTTTTTTTCATGAGGCAGACAGTTTCGTGTGTGTGTTCGTTCGCCTGATCTGGAAGTTGCAGTGACCTAAACGGTGACATGTGGAATGAGTAACCGTTTTATTTGTTGTTCTGTGTTTAACCTTTATTAAAACCTGATCTATGTTCACAGCTGAGATTAAAAGAGGGGATATAAATTTGGTGACACTAAACAAAGGCAACAAGGAACAAGGTTTGCAACCTCCACCTCCAGTCTGTAGAAGTCCATCCGTGATGTGTCCAGGAACATCATTGTGCATTTCCCAGATTCGACTGTGTGATGGAAAGATAGATTGTCCGGATGGTTCTGATGAAGTTTCGTGCGTACATGCTTGTTCAAAACCTGGTAAGTCTTTGCTTTATCTTCAATGTGAATGATCTTTTATTCCAAAGAAAATGCTGAGACATCTGTAATGTTGTGTCAGGTGACTTCCTGTGTAAGGACAGAAGGAAGTGTATTGATGGGAATCTGGTGTGTGACGGCCACTCTCACTGCCTTGACGGCTCTGATGAGATGACTTGTTACATGGCGGCTAGAAATTCAAAACCGGCACCATTAAAGTGTCGTGTGGGCTCTAAACCCTGTAAGGACGGACGTGAGTGTGTGCTTTACAGTCATGTGTGTGATGGAGAGATGGACTGTAAAGATGGATCAGATGAACAGGACTGTGAATATCGGTGTAAAGCAGGTAAAACTCATATAACTGATCCCTGACTGTCTTATGTAACTCAAACGAGTGTCACTGACAATGTTTCCTCACAGATCAGTTCCAGTGCGCTCATGGGAGGATGTGTATCGACAGAAAGCAGGTGTGTGACGGCACACCTCAGTGTCAGGATCGCTCTGATGAACTGGACTGTTTCAGTCGCTCACACGAATGCAAACATCAGTGTGATGATAAAACTCGCTGCATCCCAGAGAGCTTCCTCTGTGACGGAGAGAAAGACTGTGTGGACGCCACTGATGAAGCCAACTGCTGTGAGTTAACAAAAAAATGCAGGTTTTATCATGTTACGTGCATTTTTATATGTATTCCCAGTCAGTGAGTATTTAAAGGAGAACTAATCGCTAGCATCACCAAGCGGAATTGCAAACAGGTTTCCTAAGACTGTGTCCGAATAGGATTCCCAAAAATTCCACATTTCATTGGTTTGACAAACAACTCCAACCCAAATTCACACCACTGGTTGTCATATTTTTTTCTTCAATTTTCAATCGGTTCACTCATGTGGACCGTTTACCTGAAAAAGCTTTACTTTTTCGATATAAAGCTGGGATGGGTAAAAGTATTCTAACATCAGAAAATTACAGGCATACCTTTTAAAGGGGCTGTATTCTGTTAATTTATTCCTTTGAGCTCCATTAATACGGTTTTATCTGTGTTTGTCAAAATAATTGACCTATCGGTAAGCCCTGCCCCTTTAATTACTGTTGCTAACTCGGACAATGACAGCTGTCACTGTGAAAACCTTGTCCCAGGATGTTTTTGATAAATTTTGGACATAGGACCACCTCTCATCGAGGCGCATTCAAGTGGGACTAAAATATGCCATGGAGGGACAAAATATTTTAAAATGAAATGGTAGGTAACGAGATTAATATGGATGCGAGGGCTTACAGATCACAATGCAAGCGGGAGAAGCCTCATGTTACAGCTGTCATGATCGCATATGACAACATGCATCAGAGAGTATGATTAAATTAATTTACATTGAACCAATTTAACATGGAGAGGCACTGAAATGTAGACCTTCGTTTGTGTTTTTGACGTACACTGTACATGATGAAAGAACAGTTAGCTATATAGGTTTGTACATTAGCATGGACTTACTAACTTTAATGTTAGCCAGAGACACCTTATTGAAGCACAAGATGACATTAACGTTCAGTTGTAGTAGATTAAAATTAACTTAATGAGAGTATGACAACCAAAAAATTAAGGTTAAATAATAATGAATTCCATTGATTCCAGGTATCCTGAGAGGATAGGCAGTGTTACAAGTACCCCAGGCACATTGTTTTACCATTTTTGTAGCATAAACGCCATCAAACTGATGAGAGCTTCGGATCTTCCCATGTTTCTCTATGGCACTTCCATTCCTCATGTAACTGCCCCGTGCCATTGGCTAATCTGCGTTCGAGGGGATGGGCATACCGATAGGTCAATTGGGTAACACTTTACTTGAAGGGGTGTGCATAAGACTGACATGACACATGTCACGAATATGAAGGTTTTTTTTATGCATGTTTATGACAACTGTCATTAAGTGACATTCGCTCAGTTATGTCATTTTTAATGCAAATGACTCTGACTAACAAGTGGGCTGCAAATCCTCTATGTCCCACCTCCACTAGGAGACCCTTAGTTCTCCATCCAGCCTGCTGACAATCGCTGGACAGTCCTGTGTGTTTGGAGAACTTCCTCTCCAAACAATCTTCCCACATATGTCTGTCAGCTTCAGCAACACAATCTGCTTGGTAGATTCGGACACAAAAGGGCCTTTCGCACCGCTTTAGTTCCAGAACTAAATGTACAGTACAAGAGTACTGGGACGATTTTGCACGAACTATTTCCCAGTACCATTAAAAGGGTTGTATTCACACAGACGGTGTACGTAAGACGGTCGACACACAGTGACGTAATTTGTGCGCGGCGTTCAACAACGGTGGACGGCACTGATGAATCTGACTGCGGTGGGAATCGTTCCTTCTGTACTATGTGTGATTTGAGTTTACGAATTTAATTAAAATCAATTTAAATGGTTTTGTCTTCAGGGTACCCCACAAAGGTGGTGAAGTGTGAGAGTCCTGCTGTGTTGTGTCGTGACGGGTCGCTGTGCATCCCTCACACCATGCTCTGTGATGGCAAGAGAGACTGTCCTGATGGATATGATGAAACGTTTTGCTTTGACCGATGTCCAAACGCAGGTACTCAGAGTTTACTTGTACAAAATATGGCTATATTAAAGCATGTGTAGTCGCAATTTTTTTCTTTTCTTATAGGTGACTTCCTGTGTAAGGACAGGAAGAAGTGTGTGGAGAGGGATCTGGTGTGTGATGGCCGCTCTCACTGCATTGACGGGTCAGATGAGATGGGATGTCCCACCACTGCTTCTGAAACAGTCTCCACAACATTCAGGTGTCGTGTGGGCTCTAAACCCTGTAAGGACGGACGTGAGTGTGTGCTTTACAGTCATGTGTGTGATGGAGAGATGGACTGTAAAGATGGATCAGATGAACAGGACTGTGAATATCGGTGTAAAGCAGGTAAAACTCATATAACTGATCCCTGACTGTCTTATGTAACTCAAACGAGTGTCACTGACAATGTTTCCTCACAGATCAGTTCCAGTGCGCTCATGGGAGGATGTGTATCGACAGAAAGCAGGTGTGTGACGGCACACCTCAGTGTCAGGACCGCTCTGATGAACTGGACTGTTTCAGTCGCTCGCACGAATGCAAACATCAGTGTGATAATAAAACTCGCTGCATCCCAGAGAGCTTCCTCTGTGATGGAGAGAAAGACTGTGTGGACGCCACTGATGAAGCCAACTGTGGTAAGTGTTTTAACTCCTTGATTATGGAAATTAAATACCGAACCTAAGTTATAAACTTTTTTGTTGTTGTTTGTTTTAAATTGTATGTGTGTGTGTGTATATATGTGTGTGTATGTATGTGTGTGTATATATATATATATATATATTTAAAAAATAGATGTGCAAGCTTGTCGAGTGAATATCCCTTTCTCACAGACATCACTGGAAAGTTTGTAGTTCGGTCGGATATGTCAAAAACAAGTAAAACAATGCACAAGTTACTTAATGGTAGGGAGGAATGGAGAGCGAGAGCGTGTACTTCTGTTGTGTGATCTTGATGTTCGCTCACTTAGCGCATCATTTGGATTAAAACTAAATCGTAAATATAAGACAATTTATAGGGGCATTCACTATAAACATTTTTTTCACCCTTAAGCATACGGCAAATTGCGTGATTACAGTACTAAGCCGCTGCAATGGAGCAGCTCTAATGCTATTAAATTAAATATGTAGGCTACCATAGAGAGAAAAAAAATTAACAGTGAAAGTAACACATATGTAAAATACATTTTAATGGGCATAATGAAGTATGACAATAACAGAAGGATATACAGTCAAACCAAAAATTATTCAGAGACCAGATGTCGTGACCAGATGTAAGTGAGGATAGCAAAATAAACTAAACTGTGATTATATTATACCCAAAAATTCTACCTGTAAAATTGAAACAAATTTGGGACCAAAAATTATTCCGACCCGAGTCTGGGGAAAAAACTGAAGTTGAGGTTTGCATGAAGCTGGGTGACAGCATGCCCAGGAGACTACAGGCTGTCATTAAGGCTAAGGGTCACCCGACAAAGTATTGATAGTTGTGTAAATATTGACAGCTGTAAGAATCATTTTTGGTTGATTGTAATCCATTACATACCTTTCTATCAAAGTTATCTGACATTATCAAGCTGAATTTGTTCTGACTCAGTTTAACTCTTAGTTCTTGTCATTTTTATTACCATTTTCTAAACCATAGCGAATAAACTGTGATAATGTGAGAAATGTTGAAGGTGTCTGAATAAATTTTGGTTTGACTATATATTTGATAAATTAAGTTAACCAACTAACATTATACATACTCCTTTTGGTTTCTGTACCCAATATTTAAAAAATTTACAAATGCAATGAAAATATTGGTATCGGTACTCTGTATCGGCAAGTACCAAAAATAAAAGTAACTGTATCGGGCGAGTACTGGAAAAAGTGGTATCGGGGCATCCCTATTTTTTGGCATGAAAATCTGAGGTAAAAGAACTTTTAAAGGGGTCATATGATGCTGCTAAAAAGAACATTATTTTGTGTATTTGGTGTAATGAAATGTGTTTATGCGGTTTAAAGTTTTTAAAACACATTATTTTCAACATACTGTACATTATTGTTTCTTCTCTATGCACCGCCTTTCTGAAACGCGTCGATTTTTACAAACGCTGAGTGGATTGAGCGCGCGGCGGCGCAGATGCGCGAGCTTGTCGAGTGAATATACCTTTCTCACAGACATCACTGGAAAGTTTGTAGTTCGGTCGGATACGTCAAAAACAAGTAAGTAAAGCAATGCACAAGTTACTTAACGGTAGGGAGAGAGAGAGAGAGCACTTCTGTTGTGTGATCTTTGACGTTCACTCACTTAGCACACGCGTCATTTGGATTAAAACTAAATCGTAAAAATAAGACCATTTATAGGGGCATCGACTATAAACGTCATTTATTTTTAACCTTAAGCATACACAACTTTCTGGCGAAAGTGAATCTAGCAGCCTGTGTGAAATGCGCTCGGCTGTACTATTCTGCATCAGTACAAATACATGCACGCGTTGCGTGTGTTTTGTTTGCTTGAGTGTTTCTGCATTATATGAGTGGCTTTGGAATATAAGTCGCAGCACGTTTCAGATGAAAAAAAATGCAACTTATTTCTGAAAATATCACAGTTAGGAGATTAACGAGTGGTTCCCAGCATTATTACAGCAAAGCACGTGATTACAGTACTAAGCCGCTCCAATGGAGCAGCTCTAATGCTATTAAATTAAAGATGTAGGCTACCATGGAGAGAAAAAAATTAACAGTGAAAGTAACAAATATGTAAAATTACATTTTAATGGGCATAATTAAGTGTGAAAATAACAGAAGGATATACAGTCAAACCAAAAATTATTCGGAGACCAGATGTCGTGACCAGATGTAAGTGAGGATAGCAAAATAAACTAAACTGTGATTATATTATACCCAAAAATTCTACCTGTAAAATTGAAACAAATTTGGGACCAAAAATTATTCCGACCCGAGTCTGGGGAAAAAACTGAAGTTGAGGTTTGCATGAAGCTGGGTGACAGCATGCCCAGGAGACTACAGGCTGTCATTAAGGCTAAGGGTCACCCGACATTTGGTTTATTGTAATCCATTACATACCTTTCTATCAAAGTTATATGACATTATCAAGCTGAATTTGTTCTGACACAGTTTAACTCTGAGTTCTTGTCATATTTTATTATCATTTAATAAACTATAGCGAATAAACTGTGATAATGTGAGAAATGTTGAAGGTGTCTGAATAAATTTTGGTTTGACTATATATTTGATAAATTAAGTTAACCAACTAACATTATACATACTCTTTTGGTTTCTGTACCCAATATTTAAAAAATTTACAAATGCAATAAAATATTGGTATCGGTACTCAGTATCTGCAAGTACCAAAAATAAAAGTATCGGTATCGGGCGAGTACTGAAAAAAGGGGTATTGGTGCATCCCTAGTTCTTAGCAATGCATATTACTAATCAAAAATTAAGTTTTGACATGTACGGTAGGAAATTTACAAAATATCTTCACGGAACATGATCTTTACTTAATATCCTTATGATTTTTGGCATAAAAGAAAAATCGATAATTTTGACCCATACAGTGTATTGTTGACTATTTCTAAAAATAGGCTTTACCTGTGCTACTTATAGCGAATAAACTGTGATAATGTGAGAAATGTTGAAGGTGTCTGAATAAATTTTGGTTTGACTATATATTTGATAAATTAAGTTAACCAACTAACATTATACATACTCCTTTTGGTTTCTGTACCCAATATTTAAAAAATTTACAAATGCAATGAAAATATTGGTATCGGTACTCTGTATCGGCAAGTACCAAAAATAAAAGTAACTGTATCGGGCGAGTACTGGAAAAAGTGGTATCGGGGCATCCCTATTTTTTGGCATGAAAATCTGAGGTAAAAGAACTTTTAAAGGGGTCATATGATGCTGCTAAAAAGAACATTATTTTGTGTATTTGGTGTAATGAAATGTGTTTATGCGGTTTAAAGTTTTTAAAACACATTATTTTCAACATACTGTACATTATTGTTTCTTCTCTATGCACCGCCTTTCTGAAACGCGTCGATTTTTACAAAACTCATCGGTCTGAAAAAGCGAGGTGTGCTCTGATTGGCCAGCTATCCAATGCGTTGTGATTGGCCGATTACCTCAAGCGTGAGACGGAAATGTTACGCCCCTTACCATACTGTTGATGCCATGTCCAGCCGGAGCCACGAGACAAAAACATTAAAACCCATTATAAACGAGGCATTTGTTGCATCCAGTGGGGACATGATTACTGATTATGACTTATACTGTCTTTTTACGCATTCCGTTGCATTGCATCGCGCCGCATAAACACAAAACTCTGTCTGCATTTGTGATCGGAGAAATGACAAACAACAAGTGCTACTCTAGTGCCTAAAAATTTTTGCGCGTTTGAATCATAAGTGGCAAATCCTTTAAATGAAAACGTACTTGCGTGAGTCAGAACTGCCGGCATTGTAGTCTACTCTTCCAGGATCAGTAAACAGTCCTCCATAAAATGTGCTGCACACATCTGGATATTTGGGTTAAACTGTTCTGGAACAGTGTTGGAAATACAACTTAACCACTGATTTGTCGTCGTGTCCTCTTTTGGAAGACCAAACAAAGTAGTTTCGCTTTCACAACGAAAAACACAGCGGCCTAGCATGAGGGGAAGCCCCGGCTTAGCGTGTGCTGTGGACGGGATAGATTGAGCTGAGGCCGGGCTAGCGTGAGCCGAAGCCCCGGCTTAGCGTGCGCTGAGGCCGGGATAGAGTGAGCTGAGGCGGCGAAGTCGAGAACGGCGCGCCCGGCGAATGCGAAGAATGAGCGGCAACCACATGTGACGGACCCCGGGCTGGACTCCGTTTTATCCACGGTGAAAGTTGATGTATTACCTCAGCGACCAGCACAGATAAGCTCTAGGCATGACGAAGTGGATCTCGTTCTCTTTTGGAAGACCAAACAAAGTAGTTTCGCTTTCACAACGAAGCACACAGCGTCTTCAGGACATGGCTGCAGCGTCAACAATACTACAGCGAGAATAAAAGTTACGCCTTCTTTCTTTGCGTGCACATTTGGGCGGCGTTATGCAAATCTTCCCACATAGTGACGTAGACATGTGGGGGCGTGTTAGAACGAGCCGTTTTAGGTAGGTGTGGCTGACTCTTAACTTTTATAAAGAATATCTCTTTTGATTTTGAGACTTTAGTCTTTGCAACTTTACAGATCTTCTTTATGCACCAAGAGCTTGTAACACTCCAAAGAGAAAGGAAAAATTGAAATCGCGTCATATGACCCCTTTAATCTTTATAGGATATGTCTGATTTTATGATAAAGGAAATGTTTTAAATGTATTAAAAAAAAATTATTTAAAGAATTTGCATTTATAAAATAAAATAAAGGCCAAGACGTTAACTGTACTCATTGATTTGTTTTGTAGCTCCCATTACTAGCCCGTCCATCACAGACCAGCCAGTCTGCTTTAGCCCTTCTGTATTTTGTCATGAAACCTCAAAATGCATCTCACAGTCCCAGCTGTGTGATGGAAAGGCTGACTGTCCCAGTGGAGCTGATGAGCAGTTTTGCATATATTCATGTCCAGATCCAGGTAACGGATGGAATTTTTCGTTTTCTTAAATGCTATATTTAAAAGTCAATTTCGAAATGATGACTCTGTACTCCATTCAGGCCAGTTTCTGTGCAAGGACAGACGGAAGTGTGTTAAGCAAGCCCTGATGTGTGATGGCCAGCCACACTGTGCTGACGGGTCAGATGAGAAACAGTGCCCCACCTGTGCTTTGCTTTGTGACCAGAAGAGGGTGTGTCTGACTAGCCAGCAACTTTGTGACAGAAAACCAGACTGTAGAGATGGTTCAGATGAGAAAAACTGCTGTAAGTCTGTGTGTATGCATAAATTATTTTTATTTATTTTTTTTAGTGAGTGAAGTGAGTTGAGAGTTGTATGATTTTAATTTTTGGGGGAACTAATTGCAACTTTTCCAATCGATTCCCTTTTTTTTTTTTTTTTTTTTCTCCCCCCTTCAACTTTAGACACTGGTCGTGTGGTCGCAAGTGCTGCATTACCTCTGAAATGTCCCTTGGGATCCAAACCTTGTAGTAATGGGAAAGAGTGTGCCCTGTGCAGCCATGTGTGTGATGGGGACAAATATTGCAAAGATGGG